TTTTCTCTGTCTGACCATGGACTACTGCTGTTTACAAGATGCCTGAATTCCTCCCACCTGGCCCCTGCCCCTATTTCTCTGCTCATACCTATCTACCTGCCTGCTCTAACATTTTCACTACAGCATAAACTCTTTTCAGGGCAAGCATTTCGCTGTTCCCTGCTGTTCTCTCATCACTGGGAACAGTGCCTGGCACATAGTAAGAGCTTGGTAAATATTTCTTGAATGAATGAATAAGTTATGTGATATAAGCAATGTACAACACCACGTGGTTGGAACGCTACAACAGGTAAACGGGGAGTGGTAATACACAACTGGCATATGCATACAAGAACTCTGGAAAGAGATTTGGGAGATGGCGGGGGTGGGGGGGGCGGGGGAGTAAGCTAATACATTTTCACTGTATGTACTTGAGAAATAAAATGCTGCCTGCCATATCAGTAAACAAAGGATCTAGCTACTACATTACAGCCTCCCGTTTGACAGTGAACCCTGAGGGAACTCAGGAAGGAAACAAAGAATGCCTGCCATCTAGTAGTCATCAGACTGCAGCCACTCCCAGCAGTGCAGCTTGAGGAATCTCAGGATGAGAAAACACAGGATATGCACCCAGATAGGTGAGGTGCATATCAAAGGAATGATTTCAGTAAGCCCAAACTCTGGCATCTTCCCATACGTAGAAAGCGCTAAATTCCTTAACTTGAGATATCTAGTTTTCTTTTACTAAGAGTAGCCTTTTGTTCCAACTACCTTGGTGGTGCTGCAAAAACTCCTATCTTCCCCCTTTCCTCTTTGAAACAGTTTTCTCAGCCTTTATCTGAGATGCTGTCTCCTCGGCTTTAAGTCCTAAGAATATCTGCCGAATAAAACATAACTCTCAACTTTTAGGTTGTGTATTTTTTTTTCAGTCGACATTCTTTTATGCAGTATTTAAAAAAAAATCAAGTTCTAGTAATTGCAATAAGACAAGAAAAATGAAATGTTTAAGTATTAGAAAAAAGAATAACATTGTTTATAGATGACATGATTGTTTATATAGAAATTACAAAAAATTCTATATACACATTATTAAAGTTAATATGTTTTGCAAGTTTGCTGAATACTAAGTCAATATACAAAATCAATTATATTTCTATATACCAGCTACAAATAGAAAATTAAATTTTACAAGATAACCTCTAAATGGACTTGAGGACATAGGGAGGGGGAAGGGTAAGCGGGGACGAAGTGAGAGAGTGGCACTGACATATATACACTACCAAATGTAAAATAGATAGCTAGTGGGAAGCAGCCGCATAGCACAGGGAGATCAGCTCATCGCTTTGCGACCACCTAGAGGGGTGGGATATGGAGGGTAGGAGGGAGACGCAAGAGGGAGGGGATATGGGGATATACGTATGCGTACAGCTGATTCATTTTGTTATACAGCAGAAACTAACACAACATTATAAAGCAATTATACTCCAATAAAGATGTTGAAAAAGAAATAGAGAATCCAGTTTAAAATGGGCAGAGAAACTGAACAGTTTTCCAAAGTAGACAAAAAAATAATTAAGTTACATTAAAAAAGTGCTCAACATCACTAATCATCAGGAGAACACAAGTCAAAACCAAAATGAGATATCACCTCACCTTTCAGAGTGGCTATCATGCAGACAAGTGAGAACAAGTGCTGGCAAGGATGTGGAGAAAAGGAAATAAAGCTATCATATGTTCCAGCAACCCCACTATGGATATATATCCTAAGGAAATAAAAATAGGGTATTGAAGATATATCTTCATTCCCAAGTTCATTGCAGCATTATTCACAATAGCCAAATTATGAAAACAACCTAAGTTTCTCTGAAGGGATGAATGGATAAAGAAGATGTGGCATACATACATATAATGAAATACCGTTCAGCTATAAGAAAGAAGGAAATCTTGCCACTTTCAACAACTTGGATGGACCTTGAGGATACTATGCTAAGTGAAATAAGCCAGACAAAGAAAGACAAATAATGAATGGTATCATTTATATGTGGCATCTAAAAAAAAAAAAAAGGTCAAACTCATAGAAACAGTCAGATGTGGGCTGGAGGATGAAGGAATTAGGGAGTGGTTGGTTAATGCATACACACTTTCAGCTATAAGAAGAAAAAGTCTGAGTATCTAATGAAAACATGGTGACTATAGTTTATCACACTGTATTGTGTAATTGAAAATTGCTACGAGGACAGAGCTTAAATGTTCTGAACAACAACAACAACAAAAAGATAAATGTGTGAGTTGAATATCCGTTAATTAACTAGATCAGAGTAATCCTTTCACAATATATACAGACATCAAATCATCATGATGTATACTTTAAATATCTTAAAATTTTATATGTCAATTATACCTCAATAAAACTGAAATAAAAATTAACACATTAACCTAAAAAAAAAATCAAGTACATGGGTTACCTTTTGAAACAATATATAGGAGTGTAAGTGATCAGATCATTCCACCCCCAAATACGTCACTTTGGCATAAGGATTACCTCCAGCTGAAGACACCTGAGAAGTAGACACAGAAAAGGTCTCTGCCCTCCCTCTATAAATTTCCCTTTGTCACGGTGTTCCCCCATCTCCTCTCTACCAGGAGGGGCAAAAGTTAATCACAGGAGACAACTCTAGATAGACTCTCATCGGTGAGAGGAATCTACAAAACAAACCTTTCTAAAACAACTCTTATCTTCCATTAGTTTCTCCCATATATTTACCTTCCTACAGGCTGCCCCCTAAAAGTCATAAACCCCTTTCCTTTGTCTTATCACTTCTCGACAAATTTAAATTGTATCACTCTTTGTCAGAATGGTATAAAAGCCTCCATGCCTAGCTGGCCCAATCACTAAACCTAAGAGGTGCGGGGGAAATTTTTCCTCCCCTCCAGGGGGGAAAACAACCTAGTTTTGACTGTATGAATATGGGCGGGGCTGCTCTGTGTGACAGTGAGCTCCGCCCCCCCGGCGCCCCCCCACCCCACCCCGACCCTGTGCTCCCAGAACAGATGTTGCTGAGGGATTCTTACAGGAGGAGGTGGGAGACTGGAGCAGAGGATCTCAAAGATCCGCTCTCCCCCACCTCTGCCACCTAGACAAGGCACACTTAACCACTTAGGGTCTGAAACACTGAGAGAAGGGCAGGGTCCCACATTTGGGAGGACTAATGCTTGCAGGTCAGAAAGTGAAAAACCCTTCAGCCGCCGGCTAGACACATTGTTCCTCACTGAACATAAACAAGTGCTCACAGAATATAAACAAATATCAAACAAGGCCACTCTGTATTTGGAACAAGGCATAGACAAGGCCACTCAGGAACCAAAATATGACTCAACATCCTCCTCTTCTGACTAACATGAGTGGGTCCTGGTTCTTTTTCAGTGACAACTCTGGCCCTGCTTTAATTCTCCTACCTTCTGGATAAAAATTAAGATACCTGTTATAGAATTGTCCCTGCTTCTTGACTGTGTCCAATTCAAAACTGTTCCCTACTTCCTTAAACCCCTCTTAGAGGTACCCAGCACATACCCAAATCCTACAATAAGTTTTTCCCAACTCCCTCTTACCAAGATAACCTCATGGTTTCTCTTAATGCATTCTCCCTTAACAAACAAGCTAAATAACTCTAATTCATTTTGACTGTGGGCATGTTCCTGGTAGAATTTGATCACAGTCTTAGCTTTATTCTGCCCAGTCCAACAATACCCAGACAGGGAGAAGCAAGGATTTTAAGGGCTACCTGGAAGGTTCAGTGGTCCTGAAACAACCTGACTTGGGTAAGTAGTCTGGGGGGCAGAAAGAGAGAAGGGAATTAGGAAAGCTTGAGTAATTCTTCTTCCTCAGCCATCAACCCTTTCTGTGGCTTTAGGCAAACCATCTCACTTTGGGTCTTTTTCCATTTCTGTACAAGAAAAGATTTGAATCTATTTCTAAGGCGTCTTCCAACCCAAATATTCTAGGATCCAAACTCTACAGGTCCTCATACTCCCAGGTAAATGTTCCCCTACACCAATTATTTGTAGACCATTGTCATCATTGTTGCCATATCTACATACCACCTGTTCTGTTATGTAAGTAAATAATTTTTCAAAATTTTTTCTTTAAATGGACTCACTTTTTACTTAAATTTACAAAGGAAAATTTACACCACTGCTTAAAGGGAAATCAAGTATTGCTTGGTAGAAGTGGAAGAATTTCTACAAACACACATATACACAAACCCTAAAACAATGTTATTTAACTGTATATGTTGTTACCTTTTGATGAGATTTGGAAGCCTTTGCTCTGCTAAAAAGGGAGATAAGCAAATGTTAGAAAAATGTTAAATACGTACCAGTCGCAAACACACTTACTCTTTAGTTTGAAACAAGACTTTCTCACTCTGCCTTTCAGTGTTACTTAATGTCCTATATATACGTGCATCCTTACATCCTTTCGGTCACCCCAAATGGTTTATATATCCCACAGTTTAGGAAACAGTGCCTACCTTTTCTGTTTAACTTGGGCTCATCCTTCAGTTCTTAGACTTACTATAAATACCTCAGATTAAATATAAAGTCCTTCCAGGACTACTCCCTAACTGATTACCTTCTCCTTACATAGTAGGCATTAAATACACTTTTACTGAAAGAATATTTCCTCGTAATACTTTTTCATAGTAATTATCACAGTATGCCATGGTGCGTTTCTGTCCATTGTCAGTCTTAACTTGGCCATAAATTCTTGTGCACTTTTGTACCCCAGATCTTGACAAAGTGGACTCCCAGGGAATGCAAACGAGATGAAGGAATAAACCCTCCTCTGTTCCTGCAGCCTCCGGCCGGTTTAGCCCCGCCCCCTCCCCCCAGCCCCGCAGACGGCGGTGGGCGGGGCCACGCCTGACGCAAGGCCGCACGTTTCAGGCCTGAGAAACCGTTGCGTTTCTGAGGAGACGCTTCAACCCGCAGTTACTACCGCGCTAGGAGCTTCCGCCTCGGCCACCTCCATCAGCCGCATCACCATGGGAGCAGCGCTGGGCGTCTTCTCCCTCGCCAGCTGGGTGAGTTCGGGGTCTGGTGTCTCTGTCGGTCCTGTGGTTTGGGGGAGGGCGATAAGGGCTCCCCAAGCGCAGACCCCGCCGGGCCTGGCGCCCGGGGCCCGGGGTTTGGGGGTCCGGCCCTGGGCTGCAGAGGGTATCCGGGGGGGAACAGGATAAAATCCGCGATGCCCTGCAATCAGGATCAGGCGGTTCGCCTTCTGTGATTGTGGAGGAACGTAAGAGGCCAGCCCTCCATTGTTTACAATTTTGATTGCCCCGCCCCGTGAGCCTTCCGGCCTCTGGGTTCCTCCGGAGATGGAATGGGACCGGGGACTGAGCTCTGCTCCCGGGGCCCGGGCTCTCTGGTTCATTTCCAAGCACCTTCTTAAGGTGGCGTCATTTATTTGAGCGGGGGTGGGTGGGGCTTGAATAATATTTTTATCCCCTAGCACAGGATTTGCCAAAGCTACAGAGTCTGTGGCAGAGGTGAGATTTTAACGGAGGCCTGTCTGCGGTTCTGGCGCAGTGGAAAGACGGCCTTGTGGATTATTATTCAGAATTGGAAGTCATGGCCTGAACATTTTGGGACCCTGTACAAGTCATTTCTTTCTGGCTTACCTTAAGATGAGGACAGTCACCCCAGCGTTCCTCGCCTCAAGAGCTGTTGTGAGGATGAAGTGGATAAATAGTTTGAATCACTCTGTAGATTGTAAACTCCGTATTTTAAAAAAGGAATTTTGGGATCTATGGAAGAGAATATGATGAGTTCACTCATACACTTGCTTCCGAGGAGCATGATTCCTTAACATCATTTCCTTGTTTCCTAATTCCCCAGCTGACTTAAATGACCAAGGACTCTATCTCAGCTAATGCCACTACCTTTTCTTAGGGACAGAATGTATTTTCCATCCTTTAAGGTTGTTGATCTTAAATGAAAAGGGCAGTTGGTCTTTTAAGGGCCTAGATTGTAGTGGCTTTCCAGTTTTTCAACCTTGACCCAAAGTAAGAAATAAATTTTACCTGCTTGATTTAATACACCCATTTAGACACACGTTTCGTGAAATAATTCTTACCTTTGCCCCCTGCTGTACAATTTTTCTTTTCTGTCACGTTAAAAAAAAAAATCCTGGTCAGTTGATTTTCTTTCTTTCTTTTTTTAAATTTTTTTTACAGTTTACTAGTGGATCAAACTCACTGTTTACAAAATAGATTTAGAAAAAAATAGTTAAGAAGGAAATAGGGCGTGAATTGGTAATTTGAAACTGGAAACACATTTTGGCTTTGATGTAAAGCTGAGATTTGAATTGATGCCATCAAAGCATTTCTACCTATAAATCACTTTTATACTTTATTAATTCCTTTTGTTCAAGAGGAACAGCAAGGAATTCAGTGTACCAGAGAATGGCATGAGTGAGGGGAAGAATAATAGAAAATGAAGTCAGAAAAGTAAAGGGAGCCAGATCACGTAGATACCCATTGGCCAATTTAAGGACGTTGGCTTTTACTCTTATGTGATTATGGGGATCCATTACAGAAAAGAGGAATGATGTGATCTGACCAGTGTTTTAACAAGGTTTCTGTGTGGAGAACAGATGTTAGAAAAGAAAGGGTAAAGCAGTGTAGGGGAGGAAAAACTTCCATTCTCGATGGGTCAGTGGTTGGGGCCTGCGAATTAAACTGAGAAAAGACAAATTAGCAAGAGAAAAAAGGAGTTCATGTACTTGTGCAACCCACATACACACAGGGGTTCTTAGTGATGAATAACTCAAAGGGGTGGTTAGAATATAGGGCTTATATGCCTAACTTAATTGGGGTTAGGGTTAGGATTGGGTGGGGCAGAAAAGGGCTTCCATGGGAATAACAAATAGGTTTCTTTAGGAACGACAAATGGGTTTTTAGGAGAACAAACAGGAGATAAGAAAGTTTGTGATAGTACTTGTTTCTGTGAGTGCAGAGGTCTTTTTATCTTCTTCATGGCCATAAAACTTCCTTGGAGAGAGAATTTATGGCAGTTGCTGCTTTCAGTCAGATGAGAAAAGCTCTGAAAAGGCATTTTTTTCTGCTTCTTTTTAATCTCACATGTCTTCATCTGAAAATAATTTTTATACTAACTCAGGGTTCTGAATGGGTTGCTATAGCAGCGAGACAGGAGCTATTGCATTTAATCCAGGTGAGGGATGATAGTAGTGGCTTGGACCAACGTGATAGCTGAGGATGCTATGAAAGTGGCCAGATTCTGGATACATTTTGAGGATAGAGCTGATGTGCTGACAAATGGAATGAGGGTTTTGGAAAAAGAGAAGGCATGGAGGATGACTCCAAGGTTTTTGGCCTTGGAGGAAGAGTATGGCAACAGGCAACAGTCACATACCCTTCCTTCGGCAACAGGAAGAGTATGTGACTCACCTGGGTCCTTGGACTCTTTAATCAACAGAAATTGATAAGAGGCCAGAGGAGAATTTCAGCCAAGCGAGAGGGAGGTAAAACAAGTAACAGATGGGGGAACTGGTTCCTTAAATGGGATATGGGTAGGGGCGAATCAGTGGGTTGAGCAAGAGGTGTGGCTTAGGTAATCTGCTCTCCCGCTTGGTGGGGCTCTGTGCAGGGATCATGCACAGTACCCTGCTATTGCTCTGCCCACCTCAGAAGTGGCAGTTGGTTTGTGGCTTTGTTGTATCTTACCATTCATGTGTGCAGTTATTTTGAGTCCCTTATAGTTTCTTTGTATTCTGTTGAGTGCAAGCACTCAGGTAAAGGGTCCCAGGTTCCAGCCTATCTCAAATAGAGTTGTTTACTGAGAGGGGGAAGTGACATAACGTATAGTAGGACGTTTGTTCCACAGATTGAGTACCTACTGTGTAAAGGTGCAAGAGATATAACACTAGGTGGGCCCCCCTCAAGGTACAAGATGTAATCAAGTAAGCAGGTGTATTGGTTTGCCAGGGCCTCATAACAAAGTACCACAGAATGGGTGACTTAAATTACAGAAATTTATTGTCTCATGGTTTTAGAGGCTAGAAGTCTGAGATTAAAGTGTCAGCAGGGTTGGTTCCCTCTGAGGGTGGTGAGGTAGACTCTGTTCCAGGCCTCTTCCCCAGTTCCTGGGGGTTTGGTAGCCATCTTTGGTGTCCTTGCTTTATCAGTCTCTGCCTTCACCTTCACATGATGTTCTCCCTGTGATGCATGTCTGTGTCCAGATTTCTCCTTTTGATGACATCAGCCATGTTTGATTAGGGGCCCACTCTTCTCCAGTATAACATCATTTTACCTAATTACATCTGCAGCAACCCTGTTTCCAAATAAGGTCACATGCTGAGGTACTGGGGATTAGGACTTAAAACCTACGAATTTTGGAGGACACAATTCAACCTATAGCAAACAGTAGGCAACTATCATTATTTAATTGGCTGGGGGGAAAAAATAGCTGAAGGGAGTCAGGAGTGTGAGAGTACAGACAAAATAAACCTGAAGCAATTAGTGTCATTGTTTTCAGGTGTAAAATGTCTGTATTTCTGTGTGCGACCAGATACAGACTTCTATTACAGTCTTTTGACCCAGACTGTAGTTAAGTATTGGAGATGAGCCTGGGTGGTCAAGTCCCCATGGCTGTTTTGATTATGGATATTAACGGTTACCTTGATATACGGAGCCCCTGCTATGAAAGGCATTGTGCTAGGTGCTATGTATTCCTGACATTATCTCATAAAAGATTATTACTGGGACCATACTGTAAAACCAGAATCCCCCAGCGTTGCATTTGCTGCTTCTGCTGATGATTCTGAACTAGCCTATCCTTGTAACGTGACTTCATAACATCACCTATCAAAGCAGTTCAGGTGGTTTCCTAATCAAGCATATAGAAGAATGACTCAAAGTATGTCCTCTCATCTGGAATGCTCATTAGGAGAATTTAGCTGACCAAAGATCCAGGTTACTTTTTTTTCTTTAATTGAGGTAAAATTCACATTACATAAAATTGACTATTTTAAAGTGACATTCAGTGACATTTAGTATGTTCACAGTGTTGGGCTATCATCACACCTGTCTGATTCCAGAACATTTTCATCACCCCAAAGACAAACTCGATTTCTGTTTAGCAGTCTACTCTCTTCTCCCCACTCCCTCCAGCCTCTGGAAACCTTCTCTGGAAACACTGGTGTTTCAGAAACATTAGTGTTCAGAAACATTAGTGTTTCTCTGGAAACACTAATCTGCTTTTTTCTATCTCTGGATTTACCTATTCTGGATATTTCATATGAATGAATGAAATACAATATGTGACCTTTTGTGTCTGGCTCCTTTCACTTAGCATGATGTTTTCTAGGTTCACTTGTGTTGTACCAGCTATCGGTACTTAATTTTTATGGCCAAATAGCATTCCATTTTGCGGGTATACCACATTTTACTTATCCATTCATCAGTTGATGGACATTTGGGTTGTTTCTGCCTTTTGACAATTGTAGATGGTGCTGCTTTGAACATTCATATACAAGTTTTTGTTTGAATACCTGTTTCAGTTCTTTTGGGTGTATATGTAAGAGTGGAGTTACTGGGCCATATGATAATTCTATGTTTGACTTTGAGGAATCTCCAGGTTACTTTTTTTTTTTTAATTTATTTATTTTTGGCTGTGTTGTGTCTTCGTTGCTGTGCATGGGCTTCTTCAGTTGCGGTGAGCAGGGCTACTCTTCGTTGTGGTGCACGGGCTTCTCATTGCAGTGGCTTCTCTTGGTGTAGAGCACGGGCTCTAGGCACATGGGCTTCAGTAGTTGTGGCACGTGGGCTCAGTAGTTGTGGCTCACGGGCTCTAGAGCGCAGGCTCAGCAGTTGTGGCGCATGGGCTTAGTTGCTCCACAGCATGTGGGATCTTCCCAGACCAAGGCTCGAACTCCAGGTGACTCTTTAATGGAGCTGAATGTCTCTTGCTTTCATTATTTATAAGGGTTTCCATGTAATGTTGCCTTATGCTGTAATATCAGATTTGGTAGCTAGGATTCCCAGAAAACAGCAAGTGGAGTTAGTTTCTATTTTTCTCAGTATTAAGATATATTGTTTTTAAATAAAATATGCTGTCTGTGAGAACATAACCAACATTTATTGGGCTTTTACTGTGTTTTAGGCACTGTGTTGAATGTTCATTTAATATAGCAATGTCTGAGGGAGGAAGATTCTGTTACTGAGTTTAATTTACAGATGGAGAAATAAGCTTACATTATGTAACCTGTTGAGGTAAAGTGGCAGAAATAATATCAACTCCAGAGCCCATGCTTTTAACCACTTCCTCCCAGCTATAGTTCTCAGTTAAAACTCTCAAAGCCTGGTTTGCCTCATCTTCTGTTCTGGATGTCACAAAGGAGTCTGCTGAAGGAGGTCTCAAATGGTGAAGATGTGCTTATTACAGGTTCCATGCCTTTGCGGTGGTGCATCATGTTTGCTGTGTAGCTGCTGCCCCAACAGTAAGAATTCCACTGTGACTCGCCTCATCTATGCTTTCATCCTCTTCCTGGGCACTATTGTATGTTGTATCATGTTTCATGAAGGGATGGAAACTCAGCTGAAGAAGGTAAGTAGAAGTAACCATAACCTTATTTAACGTAGGGGTTTTTATTATTTTTATATTTTGCAGAGTTTTAGTTGTAATTAGTATTTATTTCTACACTGTTGTGAAAGTCAAGTTCGTTGGATTTGTTGGGATTTTAAATTTTGGTTATAGTCAAGACACAGAATATAAAGGTATCAGTCTTTTCCCAAAGTAAAGGTAGTCAGAATGAACATCTTTAGTCTAACAGCTTTGGAAAAGATATTAAAAGAGTGGCCCTAAAACTTTATCTTTTCTTGTATGTTTAGTTTTAAACATTTAAACTAGACTAGCCCTTCACCTTCGGAAGGAGTGGGTTGTAGCATGAAAACTCATGGGAAAATGGGAGATAACCTCATCCACAGATAAGGGCCAAAAAGAGAGCACTCAGGACTTCCCTGGTAGTTCAGTGGTTAAGAATCTGTCTTCCAATGCAGGGGACGCGGGTTTGATCCCTGGTCGGGGAAGTAAGATCCCACATGCCGTGGAGCAACTAAGCCCGCGGGCTGCAACTAAGAGCCAACGCAGCCAATAATTAAATAAATAAAATATTAAAAAGAAAAGAGAGAGAGAGCACTTGCCTTTTATTTTCAAGATGCAACTTGTTTATACTATTTGGTGACAAGATTGTAAGTGAATTGGAAGGCAAAGAGAAAAGTCCCACAGGAGAGTCTTGCAGTTGTTTAAGTGGTCAGTTTTAAAAATCCAGGCTTTCCTATTGTGGAATAGGATCTCTCTTTAAATGTGTATATTCCCATAACATTAAAATTGCTTTTTCCAGATTCCTGGATTCTGTGATGAAGGACTTAAAACCAAGGTGGCTGATACAATCATGGATAAAGATTGTGATGTGCTGGTTCGTTATAAAGCCGTATATCGAATCAACTTTGCCTTGGCCGTCTTTTTCTTTGCCTTCTTTCTGCTCATGTTAAAAGTGAAAACGAGTAAAGATCCCAGAGCAGCGATACACAATGGGTTTGTAGGAATTATTTATTATTAACTTGTTATGTTATGATGTGCATCCTCCCCTTCAGCAGTTAATGTTGCCATTTTGATGAAAGCAGTAGAGTATGTAAATCAGTGGCCCAGATGTATTTCCGACCTACTATACATGGGAAGTTGTTTCAATGTCATTTTCAGTTGGAGACCTGCAGCATGGAAGAGGTAGAGTGGACAAGAAGAATCTTGTCTTTTTCCTGTATTTTTTAAAAATACCTTTGCTTAAGGTGCCTAGATTTTTATGGAACACCTATGAAAACAGTTCAAGCATTGTACTAAGCAGTACACACACACACATTTTTTCTTTCTATTGTTAAAAGAGAAACATTTACCTGATATATTTAAACAGTATACAGAAAGATAAATAGTGAATATATTTGGGCCACTGATTCACATATTCTGTCGCTTCCCATTCCTGATTCCCGGTTCCCCTTTACAGAGAGGTTAAATAAATTGCCTGAGATGTCTCAGCTAGTGAGGGTTGGAGCTAGGATTGAAACTCAAGTCTGTCCAGCTCCAAAGCTGCTTTCTTTATACTCCGCCATACAAGGCAGTCTTTAAAGATTGACTGAAAGCCAGGTTTGGTCCTGGCTTTGCCAGTGACGAACTGTGTGATTGTGGGCAAGGCATTTGTGTCCAATCGTCTGACGTGCAGCAAGCCAACCTGAGATGCTGAGGTTTGCAGCAGAGACTGGAAGACAGACCTCAGATCCGCCTCCCCGAAGGCAAGAGGCTTTAGTTATTTATGGGATAGAGAAGCAGAGTAGTCTTAGGTTTGGGGAAAGGGAATTGGAAGTAAGGAAAACGTGAGGTAATCACTGTTCTGCACAGGTGTATCTGAATTACATGCTTCTTAATAGGATGCATGTTCAAAAATGGATATGCTTAGCGTAATCTGAGGGTAGAGTTTTTGGCACTCTGACATCAAAAGGATCATTCATTTTTGGCACTGATATCAAAAGGGTTATTCATTGCACATCTGTGCAGGCCCTGTTTTAGGGTCAGTGGTCCCAACTAGTCTTAGGCAGCTTGAAAAACTAACTCCCAGTTTCTGAAAAACAGCTTAAGTCCCCGTTACTATAGTGACCCATAAGTCAGAGGCACGTTATCTATAGGGGTAGTTAAAAAAGAGTCTTGTGGTATATTATCTAGGCTATATGAAGGTTGGAGGGTGTGAAATTTGAAAAAAACCCAAAAATTACGATGAGCCTTTTGAAGGCAAGGCTGCAAGCGGGGGCGGTTCTTTAACCAGCTGTTCCCTTAGCACTGTTCTGTAAGGCAAGCTCAAGAATTTCTGGTGGGCACCAGTGTCTGTTAACGATGGGGCACGGTTTCAGGATGGGTTAACACCATGGGGCATGGTTTTACCATGACGTAAAAGAAGGATTCGGTGATTCACTTTCCCCCAGATCTAAGTTGATTGCTTTATATTTAGCTAAAATCATTAGTTTAGAATGCTCCAGAATTCTAGAGAAATTCCTACCTTTAAGTGCTAAAAGTGGGGAAATACTAAATAGCATGTTTCTTTCTTGTGAATGTGCATGATTTGGTCCCTGTGCTAACGCTTGTCCTTAAGTTGTGTGAAGTATCGAGTGAACTAGTTTCACGTCGAATGAAGAAATGAGCCTAATCGTGCTGGAAGTGGCTAGTAAGCCTTTATTCTTGCAGTTTAGAAATTCATTTTTCTCAGCGTAAGGGCAAAAATTAGCACTTCATAAATGCACTTTTATATTTTAATAGGTTTTGGTTCTTCAAAATTGCTGCTATTGTTGGGATCATGGTTGGATCTTTCTATATCCCTGGGGGCCACTTCACCACAGGTATGGTTCACTATTAGGGGGGCCAATCATAATATATACAAACTCTACAGATGATTGTGTTAAAGCTACATTTTCATTACTGATTTTTGCAGAACTGGTAATTAAATGAGATGGTGTCCAATTACCATGACTTGGTACTAATATTAAGATATTAATTGATTGATTAAAGGCGGGAGGCATTCAGCCCACTTCTCAGCTGTTCTGGAACCATATGTTTGTTTGCCAATATTTTAATAGTTTCTCTTCTCACTTGGCAATACCAAGCTTGTCAACGTAAGGACTTGTAACCATGTGTTCCACTATTCCTGTCTTAACCTGCTTCCTTATCGTGACATCTGTGGATTTCCACTGTGATTTTTATCCCTGTAAGTAAAGGAAAGGGCTTATATCTTTTCCATTTGGAATCCCCTTGGCACAAGCTAGAACAGGTTTTAAAAGGTCTGAAACCTAACAGAACACTTCTCAGAGAATACCTTTGAGTTTGGAATTGCAATAATCTTGCTGTACTGCTGGAGACAATGTCTTTATTACCTCTCTATTACTTGAATTGAAATCTTTTTAGAATGTTGGACAGTAACATTCTGAAATGTTGCTCCTCTGGTGAAGAGTAACTGTGCTTTTGGTTTGTAGCCTGGTTTTTTATTGGCATGGTGGGGGCTGCCTTCTTCATCCTCATCCAGCTGGTGCTGTTGGTGGACTTTGCTCACTCTTGGAATGAATCATGGGTAAATCGAATGGAAGAAGGGAACCCAAGGTGCTGGTATGCGGGTAGGTATCTAAACCCCTATGAGAGCCATACTGCATTATGCTACGTTAAATAGGGTGAAAATTGGTCCTCGTTAGTATAAGAGTTTGTTATGACTGTGGGCATTAATGTTTGTTTTCTTTTTTCTAGCTTTACTGTCTGTCTCAAGCATGTTTTATATCCTGTCAGTCATCTCTGTCATATTGCTCTACACATACTACAGCAAACCAGATGGCTGCACAGAAAACAAGTTCTTCATCAGTTTTAATCTGATGCTTTGCATTGTGGTTTCTATTATGTCAATCCATCCAAAAATTCAGGTATGGTTGTGATTTCTGCTTCTTCCTCCTGTGAAGGATTTTTAATTAATGCTAAACTTGAAACCTAGGTAACCTGTTGTATGAATTTATGTCCAAGTTTACCTACTTAAACATTTTTCTGGGCTTCCCTGGTGGCGCAGTTCCCTGGTGGCGCAGTGGTTGAGAATCTGCCTGCCAATGCAGGGGACACGGGTTCGAGCCCTGGTCTGGGAAGATCCCACATGCCGCGGAGCGGCTGGGCCCGTGAGCCACAACTACTGAGCCGGCGCGTCTGGAGCCTGTGCTCTGCAACGGGAGAGGCCGCGATGGTGAGAGGCCCGCGCACCGCGATGAGGAGTGGCCCCCGCTTGCCACGGCTGGAGAAAGCCCTCGCACAGAAATGAAGACCCAACACAGCAAAAATAAATTAATTAATTAATAAACTCCTACCCCAACATCTTCTAAAAAAAAAAAAAACATTTTTCTACTTCAACATGATAAAGTCTTCTTAATTATAACTTAATCACTCTAAAATGTGCCATTGAGGGCCAGTAAATGAATAATTTCCCTATTATTTAAGAAAAAATCTGTGTAACTTGAGAATTTATCATTCTTATAAAATTGCTTATATCATGGGAATGATTCTTAGGAATCTTTAGCAAAGATATTTTAGGGGAGTTCAACTAGAAAAAATAATTGATTTTAATATTTAAAACACAACTCATGCTCCTGAGTTTCCTCATTTAAATACAATATTTTTAAAATTCAGATATGAATTTAGGTATGAAAAGAACATCTAGACATCACCTCTCCTTCTTTATTTTTATTTTTTAAATTAAAAAAAATTTTTTTTTTTTCGGTACGCGGGCCTCTCACCGTTGTGGCCCCTCCCCTTGCGGAGCACAGGCTCTGGACGTGCAGGCTCAGCGGCCATGGCTCACGGGCCCAGCTGCTCCGTGGCATGTGGGATCCTCCCGGACCTGGGTACGAACCCGTGTCCCCTGCATCGGCAGGCGGACTCCCAACCACTGTGCCACCAGGGAAGCCCTC